TACAAACGCTAACAAACATCCATCCATCCATCTAAACTTTCGCATTTATAATATTAGTAAGAAGTAAGAAGTAAGATGATTAGTATGATTATGAAATATAGTGCGATAAGTAATCCGTACCGGTGGCCACAAATGGAACTTAATTATGATAGCTCACTAGCGCCCTCATTTTTTTAAGTAGATTTTATTACTAATATAGTAATACTAGCCTTTACCCGCGACTCCGTCTTCGTAGAATATAAAAAAAGTGATTAGCCTATATGTTTCTAGACTATCCTCTACATGTATACCAAAATTCATTTACATGCGTACAACCGTTTAGGTTACAATCTAACAAACATCCATCCATATAAACTTTTGCATTTATAATATAAGTATTTGTGCTGTTACAATTTCGTTTTACTTTTAGTCACTGGGTCAAATGTGATTGCCGGTTTATAATATTTGCGAGGTATATATTTTACGTTGGATAATTGAAGACGAAGATTTCTATAGTAAGTGGCGCCATCTTTTATGTGAATTAGACACTATTTAGTATATTAAGTTACCGAAAGATGGCGGTATAAAATTCCATTTTTTTTGGAGACAATCTTATCTTACTATATATTGTTATATAAATATAAATGCGATAGTTTAGCTGGATGGATGGATGTTAGAGTACGTAGCCTAAACTCCTGAACGGATCTCGATTAAATTTGGCACGGATGAAGAGGATAGTCTGGAAGAACACATAGGCTACTTATTTTTCTTTTAAATTCTACACAGAAGTAGTCGCGGGCGAAAGCTAGTATTTGAAATAAAAAAGTAAATCATTTGAGGGAAAAATGATTCGTAATAGAAGAGGTAAGACAAGTTAGTTTCACATTTTTTCAAAATGAAAATTATGGACCGGCAAGAAAAATATGTGAACAGATGCATTGACCTCTACAAAAAGCAAATGACGTATATTTTTAATTAACTAATAATAACCTTAAATACGCTACAAATGTCTACCAAACTAAATGATTAGGTGACGCAATAAGAGGTCAGTCTGATTAAGTTTTTCTTAGAACTTATTGCGGCCAGTACCTAATTACATTTCATATAATTGACCTTCACAAATAGTCATGGCCGATTTGTTAATACAAAGTTTCAATACGTATCTATCACTTTCGCCCGCGGCTCCGTCCGCGTGATATTAAAAGAAACAAAAGTAAATAGCCCACGTTTTCTTCCAGACTACCCTCTACAACTATGGCAAATTTCATCGAGATCCGTTCAGCCATTTAGGCTACAAACTCTAACAAACATCCATCCATCTAAACTTTCGCATTTATAACATTAGTGAGATAAATTCATTCAAAGTATAATAAAAACTTAGAACGATTTTCCTTATGTTTTATACTAAAATAATGTACAAACAAAGTGTACCTCAGATCAATCTATCACCAGAAAGTGGGTTTCAATTCTTAGATTTGACATAAGGATAACTTAAATATAGTTTAAAAACAAAGTATTATATTTAGTTTTTGTATAATGCAATTTTAATTTATTACAATACTAAAAGGACACCTGCTTGATAAGTTGCAATGTTAACGGGTAATGCTAGAAAAACAAATGGTCGCTTAATATTTTCCTCTATTTTTATTGTGAATAAATACATCTGCGTAATTTTTACTTTTTCGCAAAGGCGATTTTTTAACGCTCCCATTAATATGTTTTGAAATCACTGATGTTAGGTCTTATTTAGCGCTCAAAATGCAACACTGTTGAATAAAAAAAGCATCGCCCTGTAAAATCCTATCGTATGTACAGATGGAAATGCATTTGTTCTACATCAACGTTTTTTTTCCGCGCGTTTTAAAGCGCCCTTGCGAATGGCAGTTGTTTTGCTGACGCTACAATCGGATGTCATTGAAACAGAGTAATTTAGGACCTTAAACATTCTCGCCTATATTGCTAATCTCGGTTAAACTTTTCTTGTTCCGACACGAATTAGTTACTAAATTACTACTCGACTAATTTACGTAGTATGAAGTAGGAATCAATCTATACTCGATTCTATAACGCTATGTTCATAAGTTTCACACGAGGGCAGAATAAACAATGTACTATGAACGCATTAACAGTTAACAGCATTAGTCTGTCTCAGAGTGCGTTCAGAAATAGCAATACTGCTTTGTCGTGATACTCTGTCTTAGTAATTTGCCCTCGTGTGAAACTAACATTAATATGTGTGGTAGATGATGTAATTTCGCAGTGCTTAATAGAACACCGGTTGTTGTACTTGTTTTTATTAATTCCACTTATTAATGTTAAACTTTTTTAATCATTATTATTTGTTTAATCAACCCAATTTTAAATACTTTTTTAAACGGGCAGTATTGTTCGGATTTTTTATATGAAAATCAATAGTAATAAAATGCTTCTTTGTTGATATAAGTTGGAAATTAATTACTAGTTTATTAGTTCTCTAATATTTGTTTTGAAATTAATTTATTGTTGAAGTTTTTTTTGGCGTTTTTGTTATTATAAAATCAGGTATGTAATATCGTTTTATTAACTGGTACTGGAGGGCAATATACTAATATTTTAAACGCGAAAGTCGGATGGATGTTTGTTACTACTTTTCACCAGAAAATTTTAATAGATCTCGATGACATTTAACACAGATGTAGAACATAGTCTGGAAAAACACTGGCTACTTATTAAGTGTTTTTTTTAATTTAGCATTGACAGAGTTGCAGGCAAATTCTAGTTTTTTTACAAAGTTTGGTATCTCCATCAAAAAAGTTGTATTTTTTGATACTTTCGGTGTTTTTTAATAATGCACTAAAGAACTGTACATGAAAAAAGGAGTTCTTTAAACAGATGCGTGTGATTTCTATTTTGTTAAATATAACTGGCAACTCGATAGTAACAATCTGCGATAACCTTGACAATAAACGTCACTATAAGGTTAAAGTTCTAAGATTAAAAAGTTTGTCAAAAGGTTAAAAAATTGATTTAAGTACCCAAGATAGTTTCGATTTGTATATCACAAAGTCGCTTCCTTGATTTTGATGCGGATTTTTTTGAAGGAAGGAAAGTTTATGTATATGTAAAATACACGTACAATTGTAGAAAACTACTGATAATTTTAAAGGTTTCTAATATTATGTTTTGTTTTGTAAATGTTTTTAGTTTCGGCAATAAAGGCAAAATAAAAAAAAATGATGTTTTAAAAAACAAGCACCAATAGCCTAATGGTTTGGGATACGGACTACGGATCTTGAGGTCGAGGGTTCAGATCTCGCCATAAGACTATCGTGAACCATATCCAGCACAAGCCTAGAGCTTAGTTGGAATGGTTAAAGGAAATATTAGTAAATTAACAGAGATCTACTAATATTTAAAATTTTCGTATCAGCATTAGACACGCGAAGCCAAGGCGGTTCGCTAGTTATAATATAAATTGAAGCATCTAAAGCTAAATGGTTAAGGCTCCGGACTTCTAATCAAGTGATTGTGGGTTCGAAAATAAATCGAAATCAAAAGTTATAGTCATCCCTCTCACACTATTTGAAAATAAATATGAGATGTATTCTGTGAAAGAGATGAACATAGCACGTATAACCATGTATTCTATTTACTTATATCGCTCGATACAACTCATGTTGAAATGTTACTGATATCAGCTTATTGGTATCGTGTGTGTACATTTAATCTTATCAACATGACACGCATGAATAATTAAATAAAACATTCAAAGGGAAGCGACTTTGAAGTTAAACTTTGTTAAATAACATTTAATTAAATGACAAAAATCAAAATAATTGACTTTACACTCTATAAGGTTGTAGTCTATCATACTAATATTATAAATGCGAAAGTTTAGATAGGTGGATGTTAGTTAGAGTTTGTACCCTAAACGACTGAACAGATTTCGATGAAATTTACTATAGATTTAGAAAACAGCCTGGAAGAACACATGGGCTACACGCTTTTGTTTTTTTTTTAATTCCACCCGGACAGAGTCGCGGGCGAAAGCCATTCTATACATACACATAATAAAATTGGAGTGTCTTTTTGTAACATCAAAAAAAAAATCCGGATATCGGGAAGATGTATTTGCGTTGCTAATAACGAAAATCGCATTAAAAAAATGTCTGTCATCTGTCCGCATGCCGCGTTTTTTTCGTATAATCTCCGAAACGGCTGGAGCGAATTCGACCAGACTTTCACTGAAGGGCAGCTGACATAGACGGGCATATTATAGGCTACTTATTATCTTAACATTGCGTGGACGAAGTCGTGGGCAACAGCTAGTCATGCATATTGAAATACTGCATTTTTTATCGGTGACAACAAGCGTGTATAGCAAAAGACAATTTGCATCCGTGTATAGTTAAGAGAAAGCTAAAGTGGACTAATCAAATTGATTTGTATAATTGATTTCAGACTTTAGTGACAATATGCCAGACTGTGACTGTGATTATATGTTACCAACTAAAGAAGGATGGGAAGAGCACTATGATAATTGTATAAGCAAGTGGAATTCAAATGTTCCATGTCCAAAGTAAGTCCAATTTATTTTACTGTTAATGGTAATCTATACTATCTATACTATTATAATAAAGCGTAAACACACACTTCTTTGTTGCCTAAGATGTCAGCAATTACAGTATATTTTTGAATAGTTCTTTTTTTTAATAAAAAGCCCTACACTTACGTCACGCTTTAGGCTATATATTTTCACGCTATTAAACTTAGGGGGTAAATATTTCGGATAAAAACCCAAATGTGGGAAAGAGAGCATAAGATGTTGCCAACATCAAGGAAGCAAAATTGACATGTTTTGTCATCATGTCATGTCTGTCATTTTGACATTTGCAATTGAATTTGACTAATTTAATCAATAAAACAATTTTCATAATCTCATGCGAATGAAGTCGCATGGGAACAGCTAGTGTTTAATATAAGAGCAGGCGCATTCACTAAACTCTGCACAACTGATGTGCGATTGTCGATTGTTTCGCAGCCAATTCAACCGTTTAGTTGCACAACTAAAAATCGAGTGTGCGCACCTTCATGTAAGCTCATAGGAATCAAAGCAAGACTAAACGGTTGTGCGATAGTTTAGTCAAAGTTGTGCGCGCTCTTATCGTGTAGGTTTGCTGATGATTCCCCCTGATTAACGATCAGATTACGCGTACGTCATCAGTTCATCGGTAAAGCTGTGGCAAAATGTAGCATTAGACAACCGTTATTTAAAAAATAAACTGCAAACTTTGTGGCACAGTGTAGATTTTTAAAATTTTTGACTTTGATGACGGAATTTACAGATATAAAAAGTTAAGAGCGTCTAAGTAATTAAGTAAATAGCTAACCTATTTACTTTTAAATCTTACTTTTTACTATGGATGGATGGATGTTTGTTAAACTTTGTAGCCTAAACGGCTGAACAGATCTGGATGAATATAGCACACATGTAGAGAATAGTCTGGAAGAACACATAGGCTACTTACTTTTTTTTTAAATACCACGCGGACGGAGGCGGCTGATAGCTAGCACGTTATAACAGGCAACCTACCAAATGAAATAAACTTTAATTTTCAAAGCCAACCCCCTTCGTTTAACTGACCCATCAGGCTGTACAGTCGAGATTGTCAAATATTTGATCAATCAGTTTGATCAAATGTTTGCCAAAGTAATAAGATTGGCCCATCCACTGGCAAGCGTCAGCTAAAGTCAATCTAGTTTAATGGTAATTTAGAGAGTAAAATTTTGTTATAGTGTATGCTATTATTATGAAAATATTGTATATTAATATAATGAAGAGGAAGTTTTTTGTCTGTATTTTTATATGTATTGAAATAACTCAAAACTACTAGGCTGATTTTAAAGATTCTTGACCATTAAAAAGCTACGTTTTCGGTGAGTAACATAGGCTATGTTTCATCGTTAGAAAGGTATCTGTGAGTAGCATAGGGTATATTTTTTTAATTTCACGAGGACATAGCCGAAAGCAACAGCTAATAAATTAAAAATGAGGATGTATTTGCGTCATTTTTTGACGTGAAAGTTATTGAATCACACAACATGTGATGGAAAACTTTTATTTTTTCCAAGTGCCATAATTATATTTACTCAATCCTTTTTTCTAATATATACTGAGTTCTATAATATGCTTGTAATTTCTTGCATATCTTCATTTCGTTTAATTAACTATGTTAATTTATTTTAGATATGCAGACGGGTCTATTCGTCTATTGAATAAGAATCTAGCGGGAATGCAGCAAGACTTCATCTACCATTTAGGACTGGATACTGCTAAATACGACTTAAAATCCATGTTTGGAGATGTCAAAGTATGTATTTTATTTAATTATCAGCTATTCTCAGAGTCATTAATAGTGACTACGGATTAAAAAAATCTGCTTCAAGATTGCTTAAGTAACTTTTAGACGCTTTTATAAAAAAGTACAGTAATGAAAATATGCGGTGTCCATTTGTAATTTTTTTTTTTAATTAACCTTAATCGACGGAGGAGACGCACATAAAGAGGATATTTCCCCTTCCTATGCATCTCCTCCATTGTCAAGTCCACTTTCCCTTCCCATATTTTCTCATAAGAAAAAGGGTGGAAAGGAAAAAGGACCAAAGTTAGGCCTCCGGCACCACACTCATCAGACGAAACGCGAAATTGCTCCCACTTTACGGCTATCTTCTGTGGAGTCGTGGTATTGCTGGCGGCGAGCCGACCCGTTCGTGCGAAGATGTTAAAGCGGGTCTACCAGTGTGAAATTCCATCGTTCCTTGCAACGAGACAAACTGCGCTTCTTACAAATAACAAACTAGATAATAAAGTCGCACAAAGCATAAAGCCGTGTACCGATTGTTTTTTTTTTTATACAGACATTTAAATGATAAATTCTTTTGTTTTTTGTTCTGCGTCGTCTCAATGAGTACAAAACGTTTAAACAATTGTATCTTTTAATGTAAATCACCGACAGATTTCCCGACTGTACTTAAACGGAGAAAAGGGAAAGAACAAAAAGAGAGAGACAGATATATAGTTTGTGTTAATTTACTTAATTTTTCAGTTCGTATGCATGGGCGGGACCAAATATCGTATGAAAGAATTCGCCAAACACATGGCTAAAATATTGAATATAGACTACGAAGCAAATAATCTAAGTAAGCACTCGCATAGATACGCGATGTATAAAGTGGGACCTGTCATTTCTGTTAGTGTAAGTAAAGTTTTTCACATGTTTTACGCTGAAAGTCGAAAATTATGAAAGGTATTTACTTTTCTCACAAATGTCATGAAATAACTGAAAAAGTATCGTATTAACTGCTAAGTATAGAATTTGAATGTAATTTAGGTCACTGACCACTATAAATAGACAGGCTAGACGAAGTATTTGCCTTTTCGATTGACGCCATTTTGGGTTTGTTGGTCGCAGTTGGTGGAGGTTTGAGAAGTAATATTAACAGCGAGTTTAAGTCGGAAAATTTGAAAAATTTCTGTAAATTTATAGAGATCAGCGAGTTATGATAAGACGGACAAAACGTAGATTAAAACTTTAAAAGGAAGTTGGATTTTAGGAATTTAAATCATATAAATATGATAAATGCGAAAGTTACGATGGATGTATGGATGTTTGTTAGTTTTTGTAGCATAAACGGCTAAACAGATCTCGATGAAATTAGACATAGACGTAGAGGATCGCCGGGAAGAACAGATAGGCTACTCATTTTTCGTTTTTTTAATCACACGCGGACGGAGTCGCGGGCGAAATCTAGTATATAATAAATCATTTTTCAGCATGGTATAGGTATATCTTCAATGACGATACTACTGCAGGAAATATTAAAAGTGTTATATTATGCGAAAGTGAAGAATCCGATAATCTTCAGAATAGGAACTAGCGGTGGTCTGAAAATACCTGCGGGTTCGATCGTGATATCTTCCTGGGGTCTTAATGGTACTTTGGAGAAGACATATGACCTTGTAAGTTATAAAGGCATAAGTGTACATACAACTTTTTACTTTACACTACCTTGTAGTTCTAACTAGTAGTGTTTTGTAAAACCTCGTACCGTTTAAAGTTTAGTAAGTCTTGGATTAAAACAATAACTCTACTTATCTACATTATAACCAAGATTTTTTTAAGCTACAGTATGTAACTAATAAACTGAAAAACTACTTCTTTTAAAGTTCCATCATTAGAAAGCTGCATTATCATACGCAGACAGTGTTCTTTTTTATAATTTATTTCTTAAAAGTTTTTTTTTAATCCCGCTTGTCTAAGTGCCATCTTATGTTATTTACAACAGGGAACATCATACTTAAAAGGGCATTTTTATATATCAAACATTTCTAAACTTAATTTCAGCCAGTTTTAGGTAAAATTCGTAAAATACCGTCTGTATTCGATAAGCGTTTGGTACAAGAACTCCAGTCTATGGTGACTGAGGAAGATGGATTTATCACATATAGTGGAGGAACTATGGCGGCTGATGACTTTTATAGAGGTAACTCATTTAATGTCGGTTTCTACTGTCGATTCATGTATAAAAACTTCGAAAACATATAAGAAAATTGACTTACAAATGTAGTTTAAAACTACACTAAAATTTCTGAATAACTTAGACTATCACTTCTTGAAATGATCGCTTAATAATTTTTTTTTTTAAATATAAAGTAAGCTAAAAAAGCAAATAAATATGATGTAAGCTTACTAATATTATAAATGCGAAAGTTTAGATGGATGGATATTTGTTAGAGTTTGTAGTCTAAACTGTTGAACGTATCTCGATGAAATTTGGCATAGATGTAGAGGATAGTCTGGAAGAACACATAGACTATTATTTTTTTTTAATTCCAGGTTAATTGGGTTGCTGGCGAAAGCTAGTACGAAATAATTTTTTAAATTCACTAAAGTTAAAATGAAATAGTTTTCATGAATTTATAAATGTAATCAAAAGCAACACGGTGTTACATAATTTGAAAGTCGTCCCGAATTAATTAAGGACGAACATTTTCATTAACAAGTTGTATTTAATGAATTTTTATTAGACTAATTTAAAATATTACGGTTCATATATGTGACACGAATTAGTTAATCACGATAATATACTTATGTTATTGAGGTTAATTATTACGTTTAAACAGTGGTATAGCCCATTTTAACATTTTCGCTCTGTAGGAACGTGGAATTAATTCCATAAATTCTTTAACCGACTTCCCAAAAGGTGATTATCAATTTAAGTATGTGTGTGTGTTCTTTTATGTGTGTTATTTATGAAAAATAGCAGATTGTTGTTAACCTATATCTACACAGTAAAATTGTGTTGGATGTAATATCGAAAAATATCCAGATTTCGCGATGATTTATTTGCGTTACTTTTAACGAAAACGGATTAAAAAAATTAACTCTCCGTCTATCTTTTGTCTGTTTGTCTATGTGTGTTTTGTCTGTCCGCCTGTCAGACTTTCTTCTATCCGCTTGTCTTCTGTGTGGTTGACTGTCTGTCTGTTTATCTACTGTGTAGTGGACAGACAAAAGATTGTCTGATTGTCTGTCTTCTGTCTACAGTAAATATTTATGCGTTTCAAAGGTCAAGCGCGATTGGACGGTCCGTTTTGTGACTACACGTCGGAGGAGAAGCAGTCATACTTACAGCATCTATGTGCGCTGGGCGTGCGCAATATAGAGATGGAGGCGACCGCGTTCGCCGCAATGGCACGGGAAGCGGCTGTGCGCGCTGCAGACGTCTGTGTCACTTTACTGGACAGATTGAATGGAGATCAGGTAAGCAGTCTTACTTTTAAGGGGAATGGTTATTTTAATAACTGTTTTGTGTACCGAGGATATATGTATATAGGAACTTTTGCCCGATACATGGTCCGCATGGAATTAAAAAAGTAAGTAGACCTTGTGTTCTTCCAGACTATGGTACCCTCTAAATTTATACCAGCTGTTGCTAGCAACTTCGTGTGAAATTTAGAAAAAAAATAACAGACATAGCCTATGTTAATCTCAGATTAATTTCCTCTCTAACGGTGAAAGAACATTTAAAATCGGCTTAGTAGTTTTTGAAGATTGGAAGAATTTTATCACAGATGTAGAACATAGTCTAGAAGAACACATAGGCTACTTATGCCATTTTTTTATAATTCTGCGCGGACAGTCCCGGGCAAAAGCTAGTCTGAGTGTTATATTTGTTTGCAGGTGACAACAGACAAGGAGTTATTGTTAAAATATCAAGAACGTCCTATGGTTATAGTCGGAAGGTATATCGCCAAATATTACGAGAAGATAAATAAAACGTGAATAATTAAACACATTTTATAATCAAGTATATATAAAACATTTAAATCTACTTTTGTTTATTATTGTCAACCAAATTTTACATTTTATCCTACAGGGGTGGCAAATCATTGGCACGCCACATGTTTTGGGTGGGTCCCCGATCACTAAAATCATTAGACAGTAAAAAACAAAAACACTTATTTCTATATCTCTGGATAATTCTGTATATGAAATTAAAAATGATAAATTTGATTACATTTATTTTATCGGTCTCTCTAATAATAAAGATGTGGAAAGAAATAGAAATTAAGAACAAAGAAGACAGAGATTATTTTTCAAAAAAGTAAAAGTTTTGAGAAGCAGTCAATTATGCTCAACTTAAATTATTATCTTTTAATACTTTTAAAATGTGGAAGTAGAGGTAATGAAATCAATAAAGAATTTTTAACTTCATTACTGAGACGTTGCTTTGCTCTTTGCTTTGTTAATTAAAAAAGATTTAAGTACATTATAACTTTCAAGTGCTGGAATTATTATTTTATTTTCTTCTTTCATATATCATACGTTTTGAACACCTTTGAACTCAGTGACGGTGAAGAAAGATAAAAAAAAAACAGAAAAAAACAACCTCTACAATTAAATGTTTTAAGTTGCTTTGAATATCATTAAAAATATGATGAAATTGTGTGTATTTATAAATTAGACGTTGTATTATTAAAGAATAGCTTTCGCCCGCGACTTCATCTGCAAAGAATTTAAAAAACAAAAGGTACAGCCTATATATTCTTCCAGACTATCCTCTACGTGTATGCCAAATCTCATCGAGATCCGTTTAGCCGTTTAGACTACAAATTCTAACAAACATCCATCAATCTAAACTTTCACATTTATAATATTAGTAGGGTTATTTTTTAATTTTACACTGGTCCGTTCGACTTTACATTAGCCAGACTCCGGGGGTTGAATGCGCAAAACATTTCCCTCCAAATACATCCTACGTCAGTTCGTAGCGGCACCTCGTAGAGGGTGAACGTCTACGCTGCTACGGTAACAACCTATTGTTATGAAATAGACAATTTTCTTTATTAAAACTCATTTATATTAACAGGAAAATAATAGTTCTGTTTAATTATAATATAATTGTGATTTTTTATATAGAAATAATTGAGTGATGGTCATTTTCCTGGTGTAGAGTGTATGTGAGTTTGTGCTAATCGCGTGAGATTAGCCGTTTTTACAGTGAGATTTTTTTATGTGTTTCCGTAATTTATTAGTGTACGATGGTGCGTTTCAATGTGTTCAGAATGTATTTCTCTGATGTATAATGATTGGTGAGTATTTTATATGATAGGTAACTTTTTATAGTCCGTTTCAGAGAAGAATAATGGTTACAGTAACTTTAAATTATTTTTAAATAAATTTCAAATTAAGTACATATTTTATGCTATGTTTTAAATGTATGTGGTTTCTCAAAATTATGTTAAATTATGTTTTTAACGCACTAAACTGTTATAATGTAAATAAATTAAATTGTCATATTTTGATCTATTTATAACTATAAATATATTTATAACTAGAAATATAGCCAGTAACATATTACTCACAAATAAATTACCTTTCCATAGGTAAAAGAATTTTTAAAATCAGCCCAGAAGTTTCTGAGTTATTTTAATACATACAAAAATACAAATCTTTTCTCTTTATATTAACATGAAGTAATATTCATTATTTAACTGTCAATTAAATGTTGAATCTTCATGAATGATGGTGTTTCAAATTACCGTCGCACGGTTATTAAGCTACTGTACTGACCTATTTAGTATTTATGTATTTTAATATGGAAACAAATCTTATAAACCAAGTCTATTTATTTCTAACGCAAGTTATTGTGATTTATAACATGCCTAAAGCGAAAAATACAATAGAAATATGTGAAGAAAAATGGAATATTATTAATATATGGAGCGTGCAAGTAGTTTGTAAACGTGCTTTGTATTTTAATGTATATTTCAACTATAACGAAATTTTGCTATTTTACGACGGCTCCTACGGATATCGTAGTAACCCAAGAAATAGGATTTTTCAGCAGAACGTTACGTTAACTGTTTATGAAATGAAATTGTACCTGTACAGAATTTTATTTTTCAATTCACGATTTTATCTGTATTCTCATTACAACAATTTTAAATGTTGATTTTAGAAATATGTTTTTAGTGGTGGTCGAAAAAAATTAAAAGTACTTTTGCTCATAAAACGAGTTACAACGTTACGCGTAGGGCTCGTCCATTTAAATTCAGTGTAGGGCACGAAAAGTATAATTACGCTAAATCAAAAGTTTCAAGTATTCGTCAACACGCAATATCCTACGTTACCTACACGCGAAAGCCTTCCTTTAAATGTACTAAGTATATGAATGCGTATTTAATCAACTTTTAAATTAAGTTAACATAATTATGGTACAAAAATGGTCGTAAGCCAAGACCCACTTATAAGTAATTATGGTGGTACAAGCTCACATTTATAAAAACAATGTTTTTTTTTTATCCTACTGAAACCATTCCAATTTTAAAACTTGACCAAGTAAATAACCAAACCTAATAATAGATTTTTATTTGTTAATTTTGATAAACAAGGACATTGAAATACTTTTACTAACGTTAAAGTAGCAAATTTACTCAAAACAATAATTAACAATTATGATAAGCGACATGATTTGAGATCAACTTCGACAATTAATATAATAAAACAAGCTGTTCCTGTGCGGCTTTATCTGCATGGAATTATGAAAATTATATTTTACGAGCTGTTGCCCGCGACTTCGTCCGCGTGGTATTCGAAAACGTACAAACTATATAAATTACAAAAAGCTACGTATCCCTCGGGAACCGGACATTTCTCGGGGATGAAGCTTATCCCATGTGTACTCCAGACTTTGTTTTATATCTGTGCCAAATTTCAATAAGATATGTTGAACCGTTGCAGAATGATCGAGTAAACATTAAAAAACTAAATTAATGAATCCCACGGGAACCGTAACTATGCCCGGGATAAAAAGTAGCCTATGTGTTCTTCTAGACTATGCTCTAAACCTGTGCTAAATTTCATTGAGATCCGTTCAGCCGTTTAGGCTACAAACGCTAACAAACATCCATCCATCCATCCATCTGTCCAAACTTTCGCATTTATAATATTAGTAAGATTGTTTACATTTGACAAATTACCAATTGCTAATGTCAAAATGACATGACATGATGACCATGGCAATCTTGCTCCTTAATGTTGGCAGCTTGTAGTCTATGGTCCCTTTTCCACGTGAAGGTTTTTTTCAATTTATTTATCCCCTAAGTTTAATAGTGTGAAAATATATAGCTTAAAGCGTGTCGTAAGTGTAAGGCTTTTTATTAAAGAAAGAATTATTCAACAATATGCTGTGATTGCTGACATCCTACGTCACAAATTAGTGTGTGTTTACGCTTTATTATATTTGTATAGAATAGATACGAGTATGTACAAAATACATGAAAGGTATTATTTATTTAAATCAACGTACATAACCCTTTCATCTTCTCAATAAATATAAATTACGACAGACAGTTTACATTCTAAATGCCAGCGGTGAAACAAACGGTGTCGAAAATTTACAATCGGCTTAAACTCACCACTGATGGTGAAAGATTTGTTACAGCTATCTAAATGGTACCCCTTTCTAAAGGTTGTATATAACCTATATAAATTCTAACCTCAAATTTATTAAGGATTCTTGAAGTTTATTAGACGGAAGAAAGTATGGATGGATTTTGTAAAAGAGGTTATGCTTAAGAAGGGAGAGAAATCAGATATGACGGCTCATAGAGATGTATGGATGACCATATACTATCCAGATCCGTAGGGATGACATTTGTAAAATATCTACATATTTTTGGTTCAAATTGGTTTAAATAATTTGCAATTTGAAACAACTATTATATCTTGGACTTGTATAATAAAATAAAGACCGTAATATAATTGTTATACAAAAAAAAGTACATGCAATTTAAAATATTTAGAAAAATATAAAAACATTTTTTTAATACAACAAAGAGTAAGCAAGTTGTTTTCTAAAGCCGATGTCTTCGTACAAGAGAGTAAAAGCTTTGTTCCAAAAAGGTAAAGCGCTTTAGAAGTTTAATCTTGTTTACAACAATTCTATTTATGAATTTAATATTTATTGCGGTATTCTAAAATCATAAAACCGACAGATCTTTTTACTTTGATCACTGTATTATGCTTTTATAGATTAGTAGCTGTTGCTTTCGACTTCGTCTATGTGAAATTTAGAAATAAAAAAAAATGTAGCCTATGTTACTCACAGATAAATTACCTTTCTAAATCATAAAATCGGCCTAGTAGTTTTTGAGTTATTTCAATACATATCAAAATACAAATCTTTCCTTTTTTAATATTAGTATTGATTTATGCTGGGTTTCTGAAGTTACCATTTATATTAGAATTACTTAGTGACTCATTACTGGTAGGATTGACCTAAGTCTCAACTAAGTAAAACTCAAATACGAGTACGTATCGTAGTTCCAAAACGCATTTCATGAATTTATCGAATCAAAAATACTAACTATTGGTTATGTTGGGAAACCGACCATAAATAATCAACGTCGACTTATTTTTTTCTTCTTGTGACTGAGTTGTCACTGTTTGCCTTGAAGAGGCATTTACAGATTACGTCGACTTACTAAACATTATATTTTAAAGGTTTTACATTGACTCTACTGAAGTTTGAAAAGTTTGTGGTTGCTTTTGACATTAGTACCTATGATGTCTTATTATGTAACTTTAAAGACAGTAAAAACTGGCTTCAATTAATGCAAACGGCATCAAGTAATCCGGTTTACTCGGATCCGTTTCCGAATAAGCCTCAGTTATCCTCGGAAGCATTAGTTATCCGGCTTATCGATGCAAATGTAAGCCTTTAACAATCTAAAAATGCATATATCAAAAGTAACAAAATTATTTAATACTTCGAAATATGAACTCTATTTTATTTTTATTGTTAGCATTTACATAACTGGTTTTATGTAACACTAG